TAGTCCCAGCTAGTTGGGAGGCTGAGGCAAGAGAATCGCTTAAGTCCAAGAGTTTGAGGTTGCCATGAGCTATGATGCCACAGCACTCTACCAAGGGTTACACAGCTCTGTCTCAAAAAGAAAGAAAAAAATAAAACAGACAAGACCCAGAGAAATTCTGCAAGGAGAGGAGGGTAGCTGCAGCAGCTTTTTATAAAATCATGTGACTTCCAGCATTAGCAAAGGAGTGTTGTTCATGGCTCAAAGAAATAGCGTTGAGGAACTCAGGAAGAGCTCTCCACTGGAGTATATAGACTTGATGTGACGCACACTGGCATTGAGGCCGCTCAGACTAACCAAAACATCAGGTTGCCTTTACCTGCTACACTATTAGGCACCTGGGCATGGTGATATTGATTAACTAAAGGGACATAACTTACTATTTATTTTATTTATTTATTTTGAAACAGGGTCTGGTTCTGTAGCCTAGGTTGGAATGCAGTGGCAAGATCATAGCTTATTGTTACATGGAACTTCTGAACTCAAGGGATCCTTCTGTCTTAGCCTCATGGCTAGCTAATTTTTTACCTTTTTTGTAAAGATGGGATCTTGTTATGTTGTCCAGGCTGGTCTCAAGCAATCCTCCTGTTTCAGCCTCCCAAAGTGCTGAGTTTACAGGCATGAGCCACTGTGCCCAGCCCAACATTTTACTTAATACATGTTATTGGTTAGATAACATATAAATCCTGAAGTTCTAAAGGAGAAAAGAAAAATAACAAAAGGGGGTTATGGTAGATAAATATGAGGAACCACTGATTTGATGTTTCCCTTTATTTTTGAAAATAACTCTAGAAAATTCTTTAGTGTTTTAAAAAATGTAACTAGAAACACTCATGGGCTATTCTTTTCTAGCTTTGTGTGGCTCGGCTATTAGATAATAAAAATCCATCCCTGGACACCATTAAGATGCAAGTCTACTTTGATTTGAACTACACACGTCGAGGTAACATGCATCTACTTATTTCAGTGCTTTCAAAAAAGATGTAATACTGTATTTCAGATAAGAAGGGTTTTGTTAGCTTAGCACACATGGCTCAGTGGTTAGGGCGCCAGGCATATGTGCTGGGGCTGGTGGATTCTAACCTGGCCCGGGCTAGCTAAAACAATAATGACAACAATAAGAAAAATAGCCAGGCGTTGTGGCGGGTGCTTGTAGTCCCAGCTATATGGGAGACTGAGGCAAGAGAATCACTTAAGCCCCAGAGTTTGAGGTTGCTGTGAGCTATGAAGCACTCTACTAAAAGTGACATAGTGAGACTGACTCAAAAAAAAAAAAGGACTTTGTTTAGTTGACAGTTTAATTATTTAGTGAATTTAACTATTTTTTGTCAATCTTTGAAATGCATTCAAACTTTTAAAAGTGTAATAATGTTGGAAGTGCCAAATGAAAAAAATGGCTTTGTGAGTGTTAAAAGTCTTTCAAATTATTATGCTCATAATACATATAGTTATCATTTTGAAATCTATTATATTTTAAGCTTTCTGGCACTAAAATATAATAATTACAAATTATATCAACCAACCCACTGAAGTTGAAAATTTTTAATATGTAGATTTTTGTGTACTTGCTTTAGGTCATTTATGAGATTCTTATCTAAATTATGTAACTACATAAAAATGAAATGAATGATGGGAAATTAAAACTTAAATTATATTTTGGTAGGTAAATAATTTAATGCATACATCAGAGACATATTGGAAACAAGTCAAAAAGTAAAATAGATTCCTTTATAGACTGTCTCTGTGACTGTCATGCAGTAGGTTCCCTTCTAGGCAGCCTCTGTGACTGTCATGCAGTAGGTTCCCTTACAGAATGCCTCTGTGACTGTCATGCTGTAGGTTCCCTTACAGAATGCCTCTGTGACTGTCATACAGTAGGTTCCCTTACA